TGAGCCCCTTCACAAATTCTCAACAACCCTAACCCCTTTGGGCTCGGTCCTGATATTCAGACCTGCCAACCTGCTCTCGTTTTCTCCTCTAGCCCCTGTGAACCAGTCCACGTGTGTCAGTGGCCAGACTCAACCCATCTCTTTATTGCTGCATTTCTCTCACTTATATTCAACAAGTGGATCCAGGTGGTCACTTAGCAAGCATTTCAGGCTGCCTGCAGGCAAAGAGAAGAGAGTTTCTGCATGGCTCCAAATTTTTCTAGCTTCAGGCACAAACCACTAGCTCAAAATTTAAAAAGATAAAGGGTTCCTTTTTTCTTCTTCAGTTTGTTAACAGTCCCCCAAGGCAAGTCTCTTCTTCAATGCAAATGTCCTGAGCACTGAAAGCACTGGGTGGGGCTTATCTTTTCAGAGCCTTCTTTGCAGGCGTGTCCTGCACCCATTTAAAGATCTGATATAATGGCTGAAGGCAAGTAGGCTTACAAACTCTCTGATTTTACCAATAGTCACTTCTATCCATCATTTTATCAATAGTAACAGGCAGAAGAAAACAATATAAACCTAGTACTGCCAGATCTTAAACTCAATTCTTAAAACAGTCAAGTTCAGTCCTTATGTAGCTTATCTTAATCCTTATCTAAATTATTCCATTATGTGAACTATGGCCTTAGACCTCTGACTGCATCAAGCCTGTAGTAGGCTTTCTGTCAGTCGTTTTGACCGAGGAGCATGGTCTCAGAGAAGTTCAAGGGGTGATTTCGTCCCCTGAGCTCAAAATTTACATTTATCACATTCATTTTTGCCATTTCACAAAGAACTAAAAGACAACTTCCATGAATCAAAACGTTCACTTCCCATATCCTTTTTAGAAAACAATCACGTAAACAGTGTGGCACTATCTCACCTCTAGCTAACCAAAGAAGAAAAACTGCCATAAGGCAGAGGTCAAATAACAAGCATCCACTCTCCATCCTCACAATTTGTTTCTCTAGTACCACTCCTGGTATCATAGTGTGTTAGACCATGTGGACTAGAGAAATAAATCCAGAGACATTGATATGTGTGTAAGAGAGAGTTTTATATCAAAGAGAAATTCTATATTGAGAAAACATCCCAGCCTAGTCCAGATCAAGTCCGTAAGTCTGATATTTAACCCATATGTCCAATACTAGTCCATAAAGTCCTCCTTAGGCTCAAGCAGCACATGCGATATGCCAAATGCAGGAAGATCACAAGCCAGTGGATAAAATTCTTGTGAATCCAGTGGTGGTGGGAACACCGCAGTGCTGGCTCCTCTGGCTCTCTGAGTGTGGCTCCTCAACAGGAAGGTGAAGTACAGAGAGGTGTGGCCCACCTCCAGGTT